TAAAAAAAATAAAAAAATTAAAAAAAAACATTCCGGATTGATCAAAACAACACAGGTGAGTTAACGCAAGTACATGTATAGATGTTTCTGTGCAAATAAGGTAATGAAGACGACCAAAGGGTATTATTATACAGAAAAAAGTTGCATACTTAGTATCCAAGACATGTCATGGATCATAGCCTGTATACGCTGTGACATCAAATCATGAGGTCATTGGTCCTTACTACCCATAAACAAACAGCGTCGACACAAAAGCGTATCATGTTTGATTTTACCTACATGTGTAAATACATGCAAGGCTAAGTTTTAAGAAGGAAACTCTAAAGATTAATAATAGCTTAAGTGCTGCGTTTATATTTAATGCACTTTCTTATTTGATAAGAATTTGAGGAAAAAATACACTGGACAGTAAATTATAGCCTTGTTTAAGTCCCAAACCTTGCAAATAGTCAATGAACAATTGAACTATCAATGTTTGTGCAGTATCATTATTCTTGGAAATTCTACTTCTAACTATAAAATAGGTAAAAAAAAACCCATTGTTTTGATGGTTTTTAGTCACTGTAATTTACAACTTTGGGTCGAATATAGTGGTGACGTCGTAATATTCACTGGCTTTAAATAACTTATCGTTGGTATCAAGTTTGTATTGTAAATTAAATTTGAGAATTTTCTGTATTCATTTGTCATTTGTGTGTTTATTGTGTGTTTTATCATCAAATTTGCATAGAAACGTCCAAACTTAGCTGCAGTATCAGTTACAAAATCATAGTCAGGCTTTTGTAAAGCGCGCGGTATTAGGTAATAAATATTCTCTATGTGATACTACATGTACATCTTATATATGGAAGGGAATTACCGCCAAAAGTCTATGTATCTTGCTTTTATTCTTATTCTGCCTACTTCTTTATGCTTTGTTGTTATTGTAATTATATGTCACTTTATTGTTTTCATATTCGTCTTTATTACATTTCACTATGACTTTTATCCTTCTTCATTTTGGCCTTTCTTCTATGTTGCTTTATTCTTGTAAATTCATTTTACTTTCTGTTAAATTGATACAGTTTCTTAATTGATTATAAGTTTTACGAACGTTAACTCAATCACACAAACAATGAAGCAAATTCAATGAAGACGAATACAAGTTGTCCGAATTTAGTGCCGCATTATAACGCGAGGTGGCAGGGTTGTTCGCTAAGAGTGTTGGTAAAATAAGGTAAGCAAACCCGTGCCGGGGTTATTCGAGTTTTTTTCAATTTTCTGCCTTAATACTTTATTAATCAAACTTAAATATTTAAAAGACTGGCCCCAGGATGATGAAACAATCTTAGACTTAAGTCAAATTTTCAAATGCCTGTCAAATGTTTATATATCATCGAATTTATCTAAAAAATTGCAATTAACATCATGTTTATGAATCAAAACTGAAACATATTTCAATTTTGATCTGTTGCCTTCTATAAAATTTAAGTACAGCATGAAGATTTTGACTTAAGCTTAAGATGTTTCATGATCCATGGGGCTGGTTTTTGTTATAAGTCCAGGTATGTACCCGATACATGCCATTCCCTCCGAAGTCTCGCAAGATGGTAAGACTTCCCCTGGAAGACTGACTACATAGTAATGCTTATTTCGGAAAACTATACAGTGGGACTACCCCTGGGGTATTCAATATATAGCTAGTCTTCCGTGGGAAATCTCGCTATATAGAGCATTTCGGCCCCATTCCTAGCAACCCCTCCCCCGGATAGTTTTTTTTTAAATCGTAAAACAATGTTTGTATATACTAACGTTTTCAGTTTTTGAAGAAAATTTATCCGTTCTATCAGGACCTAAATACTAGTATATAGGTCCCTGGTTCTATATGAATAAATATTTAAATAATATCATTTTAATAGTGTTCTATAATTAAATCCATTTAGTTAAAGATAAATAATCTTCACGAGTACAGTCATATAGATAACGACTCTTTCTCCCCCCCCCCCCCCTCTCTTGGATGCAGTCGCCCGCGTGGCACTGTGGTTACGGTGTCTGCTCTATATAGAGTCACGAAGAACAGTAGTAAGGAGTCGACCAATACGTCGTGGGTTCGAATCCCACTATAGGATGTGGAGGTCGGTCCGGATGAGGTCTAGACCGTATTATCCGAGGTCCCGTGTCGCAGTAGGTGCTGGCACGAAAAAAGATCCCTCACTGCTCAATGGCAATAAGTGCCGAATATATAGGACAAATTTGCAGCTCTCCACCGGCAAGAGCTGGCTTCTCCATTTGAGTGAAAAATTCTCGAAAAGGAAATTATACAATGTACAATCACACCACCAAAGTCTCAATATATATACTGACTTCCGGGTGGACGACCTCCTATGGGGTAAGTTTCATCGGTAGAGGGGAGGATGGCCACGAAACATTTTCCTAAACGTAACTTTATACTACTGGAAAAGTTCATCGAAAGGCTTGTTGCCCCCCCCCCCCATCCCTTATCCCTTACACTTTTTGTTGCAGTACTAATAGTCAGTTTATATATCAAAAGTCATGTACTTAGTGGCATATGAGTAACATTTATTACTGAAAAAGTTGACGACCCCCCCCCTTCACCACCACCAAATAGAATTTTGGAGTTTTAAGATTTTTTTAGCTCTTCTGGTTGATGACAAACACGGTGCGTACTAAAGAAATTTCTTTCTTTATTGAAAAGTACTATTTTAATATAAAATATGAAAAAAGACCGGGGTGTTTTTAGTATGCCTGGGTGCATGTAGTCTGGTTCAGACTTCGCCTTCCATGCGCGGATCTAGAGGGGTGGGGGGGGGTGTTAGGAGCTCCTGGAATTAACAAGGTAAGTAAAACAAGAAAAAAAAGTTAACCCCCCCCAACAAAATAAAATTTTGACATTTGAACGAGTTTAGGATTTTTCTTCTTTTTATGCTTGTCAAGAATTTTCCGGGATTGGAATTTTTTTTACTTGGTTCCCCCCCCCCCCCCCGGAAAAAAAATTCTGGATCCGCGCCTGCCTACCCATAACGCTCATCATTCCTTTGCAAAGCCCTGTCCCTAGAATCACGCGCATCAGCAGTTACTATCTGTCGTGAAATTAAGTTCAGTTCAGTGGAATGTTTTGAAAAACAACCCAATTTATAAGGGTTAACTAGTATCAAAATATTTAACATTTTTATAACAATTAAACTGTAATTCAAATATCCAACAAATTAATTTCGTAGTTATATTTTTCAGGCGAGAGAACAGTTACGTAGCATCGTTTTTGAAAGTGGGGAGGGGGGCAACACGAGAATAAATATTTAAGCTACCCGGCTGAAAACAACTTGACAAGCGCAAAATAAACCCCAGGAAATTTGACAAACTTGAAAATACATAGGCGTCGAAACCGGGGAGGGGTGAGGGCTTAGCCCCCACTTCTTTCCAAAGATAGACTTAGTATAGACATTGAATATTCCTGCCTAGGTTTAGCCCCCCCCCCCCTCACTTTCCATGGACACGATGCAGTAAAGGTTTAAAATGGGGAAAGTGGTGGTATTTGGAGAAAAAAAAACTTTGGCACTGGAGTTCGAACCTTCCACTCACCCCCACCCCACCCCTTCTCACGAAATAGGATTTTTGTGTTTGAAAAATGGACATTTTTTTTGCTTGTCAGGTTTATTTTGAAGGTCTAAAAAAAATCGTACACTTACCCCCCCCCCCCCCCCCCCTCAACTTTCAATTAGCTTCCGACGCCAATGAAATCCTATTTCGGGCGGGGTGGGTTTTGAGTTAGATTTAAATTCTTCTATAGAATCAAATTTAAATTTTCTTCCTACTATACGTACTACATTTACTTATTTGACCCTTACTCTTACAAAAAGTGGGTCGGCCTTTAAGTGAACATAATTCAGTAAAGTATAAAATTATGTCTGAAAAAAAGAAGCCGCTTTTCCTGTGTGCCCAGAGAAAATAAATATGGAGTTTCCATCATTGGATCGGGAGATCGGATCCGGCCTTCAGAAGTTTGATTGATAAAGTATTAAGGCGTATTGAACAATCTCAAATAACCCGACCCGGGTTTGCTTACCTAGTTTTTCCAACACTCGTAGCGAACACCACGCCACCTAGCGTTATAATGCCGCACTAAATTTTGACGGTTTGACAACTTACATTCGTCTTCATTGAATAAACTTCATTGTTAGCGTAATTGAATTAACATTTGCAGTAGAGATAATGTTAATAATTTATTAAATAAACTGTTTAAGTTTAAAAGAAAGAAGAATGAATTTACAAGAATAAAGCAACATAGAAGTAAAGACAAAAGCAAGATACATAGACTTTTGGCGGTAATTCCCTTCCATACTTATATGTGTTAAATTTTCACAGAAAGCGGCCTCATGGATTGTAGCTTTAGCAGTGTAATTTATAGGAAAATGAAAATAAAATTATTTTGAAGAGGCATATTGTATTTGGTGTAACATAAGTTGGATATCAAAAGTCTATCATTCAGGCAAAATCTAGTAAATGAAATGTACCAAAGAAAAAAATTCTTTTAATGACCCTTTTTGCATGTAGCTTGGTTGAAAAAATATATATATCAATGAAATTACAATATTTCAAACTGCCATTTTCATTTAAAGCAAAAGAATGAGAAGAAGGGTATCAGTATTGCCTACCTCCAGTCTTTCAGAAAAAGATCTTCCTATCTTTTTGACCTCTTCTTTCAAATAATTTTAACAGGAACATTGGTATCTGGATTACTTTTGACATAATTTTGAATTTATGCCATGAAAATGTTTCATTTTCTTAATATTCTATCATAGCAATCACGTGCAAGGGAAAAATAACTTCAAATCAACTAAGACGTTGAACTTCTTAATAGAGATTTAGATGTTTTAATCAAAGAGAGTAATCTTTTTCGTGACTGCATCAAGTAACATAATTGTCAAGAGACCACGCCTCCTTTTAAATTTAAACTCACAACACAACACATTCAGCATGTTAAAGATCGTGCTTGTGCAACGCTCGTTTTAATGACAATGAAGAGAGAACAATGTATTTTTCTTTTATATCTTTGTATTTTTGCGATATTTGGATACGTTTATTCAATTGGAAATGACCATCAGGAAAAACAATTGCTTCGCAGTCCAACTTCTGGAAAAACATCCAGTATTTTACGGGATATCCTCAAACAAGAATCTTCTTTGCGTTTTTCTATGGTGCAAAAAATTCGGAATTTGGTCACAAATGCTATTGACAACAATAATTTAACAGAACTGTTAACAGAAAAGATTATTTCATTGGAAAACAAATTAAATGCTATACAATCCGAAAACCTAAAACTGGAAGACACATTGGATGAATCATTATATGATTTTCGTCAGGATCAGAATGGAACAAAACTACAATTACAGAATGTTCCTCCAGTACCCCAGTCAAGTAAGATAACATCATGACTTGTTTTTTTTTTAAAATATGAACTGTTTTCATTCAGAATTCATGTTCAAGTACATAGTTACAAATGTTAATAATGTCAAAAAAGCACTTTGAGATGTCTTCAATTTGTTATATATTGGCGACAAGTTATTTAAATTTTTGTATCATTTAAAAGGTCTTTAAAATCTTCAATAATAACATAAAACCTTTGTTTAACAATTATAAAAGAGCAGCTTAAAATCAAAATGATCCTTGAAAACCTTCTATACTCAAAATTGCACAGATAAAAAAACAACTGAAAAAATAACGTTTGAAATCAACGTACAGAAGATTTAAAAAAAAATAAACTTGAAGTAGGAATTGTGCTTTAGTTCATAGAGTATAATCAATTAAAATAGTTTAAATGAGGGGACGATGAGAATAATTGATACACATGTACATTCTCTCTTGATATTACAAAGATTGACAATAAATAGATAACGTAAAAAAAAAATCCAGACTATTTATCTAACACTAACTCTTAACTACTTAATGAACCATGTAAAATTAAACTTGTTTTATTTTATGATATTTTAGCAAATATGAAATAGAAAGGAATTGACATGAAATGGAAGATTTCAATAAAGTGTATGAAAAATTCGTGATTGCAGGGAAACGGTATATGCGTGATTTTGCGTTAGAAAGAGGAAATAATGTATGCTTTAAAATGCGTGAAGGCAGGAAAGATGGTTAATAAACGCTGTATGGGAGCTGTTCCTTGCACTTTTAAAATTTAATTTCTAATAAATAATGAAATATTTCTTCCTAGCTTGCCTTCAGCGATAAAATGTCTCCGTCTCTTTAAGGTTTCGTCAAAGGTCAACATGTCTAAAAAAATATTTTTACAATAGCTTCAAAACTATGTCTGGTATAAAGTCAAAACGCTTACAGTTTATAAACATATCTTTGATTAAAAGATAGAAAGTATCACTTGATAACAAATATTTTAAAAAAAGATATTTTTTGAGAAAAATTGTACCAGGAAATGTGCATATTTAAAGAAAAATGCATCTGCTTAATGCTGTCCTTTTTGTGAAAACCAACATTGCAGAAATAATATACACTGTATGTTCATCAATGAAGGGCAAGTTGGACGTGAATGGTCTCTGAAAGGCTGTTATTGAAAGCATTACATGAATAAAGACAAGACCCCTATAGAATCTGCCATTTACAATGTACTTTACTTTCAAGTCTTAACATTTGGACAAAATAAACAGGGAAAACAACTTTCCAGAAGCTATCCAAGACCAACTTGCCCTATATTGATAAACATATCTTGTTTCTGCAATGATGGTTTTCACAAAGAGCACGGAATTAATTAGGTGTATTTTTTTGAAAATTTATACATTTTCAAAAAGAATTTTTCTCAATTAATATTATTCCAAGTATTTTATCTATAAAGTGGTACCTTCTATCTGTTAATCTATGAAAAATTTATAAACTGTAAAAGTTTTAACTTTGTACCTCACATAGTTTTGTGGCTATTGTAAAAATAAATTTTTGGACATGTTGACCTTTGACGAAACCTTAATTTTTAATTTTTCTAGAACATAATACATTTTGATACTTCAAAAGAGTCAGCAAATTAACTGCTTGAATTGCAGATTATTTAAGCGTGTTAAATGAAATTTATGTTAGATAAATAACAAGGTCCCTTGGGACTTAAACATGCTCTATTTAGAACTACCTTCGTATTTATATCGCAGTAAATGTGTACACGCTAACTAACATTAATTTGCTTACGTTTAGGGCAGATATTTTTTTTTAATATAAAGAATAATATAAAGTTACATGTACCATAAATATACAAAACATTATACATGTGATTTTTCGATATTTGTATATTTACATGCAGATTAATGTTTATTTATCGTTATACAAATTTTAACTATAAAATAAAATCCATTAAAAACCCGAGGCGTACAAATCTCTATAACATTGTTACCGCGCGTTAGAATACGTAGTAGGAACTGTATGCATTTTCAATACTCTAGGAATACCGAGATATACAGTATTTTGACTAAATTTAATTATCATAAAAAGTATAACATGGAGGAGTTAGCATGCTGACCAATTCGGAATTAGATTAATATTAAAAATAAAATTGAAAAAAAAACAAGAATAATTTTATTGTTAAATTCTTTAATTTTGTAAATGTTTCTATTTGTGAACTTTTCATCAGTACGTCGTCATTTAAGAAAACATAAATATTTCTCGACCAATCATTCCCCTTCCATATACTATGACAATCCACGAACGTTTTTAAACCCTTGAACATGCAGTGTTTATTTGATAATATATAGCTTGTAACATGAGCTTTGATTACGGACGGAGTTCGGTGTACCGGACCTGTACCGGACCTGAGCCGTGGGCAAATAATACGTGTTATTATTTTTCTTCATTGTTCCGAATATCTGATTGGCTCAAACTGGATCACATGATCAAGTATAAAAATTGTTACCGACTGGATGTTTCTATACTCACCGTCAAAAGAAACGCAACGTAACACTCTAATTTTTGGGTAAAAAATCATATACGGGATATAACTATGTGCCAAACAAGTTAGGACATCTTTTACTCTGCCAAATCACTTATTTAACAGTTGAATGGCTTTCATTCCATTACCGAAAGTTGATTTTTTTTAGCCCTCTTTACAGATAACATTTAAGGTAGGACCAAATAGATAGGTCAAATTTTTCCTCAAATTCAATTTTTCTGAAACTTTAATATTTTGTTCTTGGATACAAAATCTCTCTTTATGTATGATATGAAAGAAATTCAACCGCACATTTTTTGCCCACATAGTCTGAAATATGGCCTATCAGACCCCTGTAAGAAGATTGTGAAATCAGACATTCGACTTAAGAATGAACATTATTTTAGAATTTTCTATTGATCTATTGCAAATTTGTGTGATACTTTTCATAAAGATAACCTTTTTGTTACTTTAAATCAGTAAGTCACATTGATACTGGAAATTTTGGGTAAAATATTAAGTAAAATAGAACATACATTGTGTCAGAAACTGAAAATTCACATGTAAATATCCGACAATTTAAGTTTTCTTAAGAGAAAATGTAGAATTCAATTTTCACAAAAAAATCAACAGAATAATTCAAATGGGTCCTAGAATAAAATGTGTAAAAATAAAGAAAATTGAACCGATGGTTTCAGATATTCTGGCGATTAAAAAAAATTCAATGGCAAAAAAACTTAAAGATTCAGTAGATGACGTCACAATACTTGACCTTTGACCTCTTGATATGACCTTGACCTTTCTAGTACATAAAGAATAGAGACTCCTTATATATGTGTCCAAATATCACCCCTCTATTATTTATGGAACAAAATTTGCACTGCATTTTATAGCAGACTGTTACATGCTTGTTTATTGCACTTAGATAGCGTAAACACATTCCAAAATATAAGCTCCTAAGTGAAAAATATATATAGGTTTCTCTGATTTTTTCACAAAATATAACGCAATATGCCAAAACTTATTATTTTTCTTTCAAGGATCATTCATTGTTGTTAGTATAGTAATATTATTCTTTTTTCCTCCAGTACTTTTTTTGGAAATGGGTAAAAATAGAATCCACGGGTGTTTTGTCCTACCTTAAATAAAACACCCCCTTCCGACCATTTAATCAAACCATACTAGTCCGCCATGTACAACATACGCAGTCCGAATTCTACCATGCATTAGGTTTATCAATGTCTTTATCTGAGCAAAGTACTGTGCATGGTAGCTTAGTGGTAGAGCGTTCGCTTCGTGATCGGTAGGCCCGGGTGCGATTCTCCTTCGCGGCGCCGCGTCAAACCTAAGACGTAAAAATAGCTAGTGACTGTTCCTTCGCCAAGCGCTCGGCACTAGAAGTGAAAGTCACGGGTCTTTCGGAAATGACCTTAAAAACGGAGGTCCCGTGTCAGGGTAGGCGCTGGCACGGTAAAGAACCCTCAATGCTCAATGGCCCTGAATGCCGAGTATAGGTCAAAATTTAACCTTACACCGGCATACGGTGAGGTCTCCATATGAGTGAAAAATTCTTGAGAGGGACGTTAAACAACATACAATCAATCAATCAATCTGAGCGAAAAAATATTTTTGGGTATTTTTAAATGCCTGTTTTTCAGATACTGAGGTCGAATTTTCTCTAACTTGGCGCAGTGTTCTAACCCTTAGACTTCCGGTCTGTGAACTGTCATTCATGCTTTTGAAACACATGAGCTCGAAAAGTCGTTATGTAGCGTATATTTGCATCTGTAGCTCTCCTTTTTCTTTATTTTGAAAATTTCCAGCATTATCAATGAAAATGCATGCTTTCGGTAATTTTGAGGAAAAGAAAGAAATATATTTTCCCGGGATTTTAGAACAATACATATGATAACAATTACAAAACCTTAAAAACCCAAAATATCGTCAAATATTTTATCAAAATTGCTAAAATTTGATTTCTGTTAAGAGAGCTAAAAATCAACTTCCGGTAATGGAATGAAAATCATTCATCCGTAAAAAAAGCTGATTTGGCAAAGATAAAGATGCCCTAACTTGTTTGGTATATAGTTATAACCCGTATTTAATTTTCACCCTAAAATAAGGGTGTTGCGTTTCTATTGACGATGAGTATATTTAAAAAAATATATAAACCTGCTGTTTCTAAAATTGGAAACGTTCTTCTGTGAAGCAACAATAGTGCTGACGTCAAAATCGTCTTTAAACTGAATGTTTTTGAAAACAGATACTGCAGCTGTTGTGAAGTGCGTTAATATAAGGATATACAATATATGTAGTTAGTACAACTTGTGAAAATGGTGAGGGACACATTGTAACAATAGGTTACATCCCACCTGAGCTGTAGACTCCCGATGGGACATTGTCGTCAGACGTCTGTATAAATCCAGGGTATAATCACAACTGGCTTAATATGGTAGTAAATCATTGAACAGCTGATTGTGACGTATAA